AGGTCAACACATGGACCTTTTACTCACATTTTCATATAATTCATTTTAATTATACATTCTCCCTTGAAGTTTAGGCGTAGTATGAAAAATAAAAATGCGACACATGTCTGGAATAATTTGCGGTAACATACTTTAACATTACTACCTTTGAGTATTACAGATATTATTATATTTCACACCTGTACCAAGGTTGACAAAAGAAACTCGAAATAAATGCACAGTAGTTACATTGCATAATTGTACGCGGTTTTGGTTTAACAAATTACCTTTGTGGTAGGCACAAATAAATACTTAGAGCATATAATCGAGGGCAAAAAACGGTGACTAAGTAGTAGTCTTGCGTTACAACTAGGTTCGGTTTCTCTTGCGAAACGTTTTTAGAAAACGGGAGATGCACGTTGTTTTCATTGCACGCAAAAATGATGCGCAATACGGTATTTACATTTTAAATTAAAAAACGTATTTTATGCATCTTGTTTATCGACATGTAATAAATATTTTTCTATTTTGATATATCGAACTATTATTCGCATTGAACTTTCAACCTTCTAATTTGATAATACTATTCATGTAGTTGAGATAAATTAAGTTATATTTACTTTACCTCTATTCTTTAATATCTTTAGTAAGTCCGTATGATATTTGTTGAGATAGAATTCCAAGAAGACGCCTGCGTCACTTTCTTGAAATTAACTGCATTCGACACCCGAGATAAATTGTTCCGACAACGGAACTTTATTGGCTTATTATTTTCTTGGAATTCTACCTCAACAAATACCTACATTGCGTTCATGATGAAAGGAACAAATTCGTTTAAAATTCAGATAATTATTTTGTGGAGAAACGTTCGGACACGTCGATTAGTATTTTTAGTTGAGGATTTTTGTGACATAAAATTGTATACTGGGTGTCTCAAGATGAACATAATATGCAGTCATCATTAATTTTTTAATGGAACATCCTCTATATAATCCCATTTTTTAATTGTATGGTAAATTCTGAACACTTTTTATATAACATACCATACCGCTAAAATCAGCGGTTTTCGTAATAATGACGTTTGAAATGTGATAAATGGAAAAAAATAATGTTTAATCATAAAACATAATTTAAATAACAATTGCTTTATAATAAATGTTCAGTGTTTTGTCCGTTTACTTGAATACATTTTTGTAGTCGATGGATTGTTTCCCGTTGAACATTTTCAATTACCAATGCTGGAATAAGTCTTAATTCCTGGTGTATTCTCTGTTTCAGGTCATCAAGATTATTTGATATTTTCACATAAAATTTAGATTTTAAATAACCCCATAAGAAAAAATCTAAATGGGTTAAATTCGGTGACCTTGGTGGCCACTCAATAGGACCTCTGCGTCCTATCCATTTATAATAGCTGTTTTACATTGACAATTTATTCATGAATAAATTGACGAAGTTCTCCATGAATTTATTGGTAAACAGTGTGGTTTTACACTGCTACAGACTTTGTCAAGTTTTTTGACGTATGAATCAGTTCTACCAATGAACCAAAGAAGCAAATAAATTTCAAAAATGTCACATCTTTCCACTCATAATTGTAGTGATACAACAGCGGTACCTTTCTGACATATATTATATAAATATTAGTTTTTGTAAGTAACAAATCAGTAGAAACAATGTAAAATTAGTACGATGCCACACAATTATTTACATATTCCAATAACATAACCTCATTACTGATCTGAGGCTGGAAATTTGTTACGTTGGTACTTCTGAACTTCACAAAGAAATTGAAGAAAATTAGAACATACTCTAATTCGTCAAGAACTTGATGATGAATTCATGAAGTTATTTGACAGCAGATTTGGTTTGTTATTACATTAAATAAATTACACACTTCTTGTTGAGTACGCACTCTGTCTCCAAAACCAATCATCATAAGTACTTCAGTACGTTTTTTCTCAGATAAATGCATTTTTAAAATGACACGTAAAACTGACAAAATGACACTGACACTGACAAACTAAAGGTTGGTGATAGTTTGGTTTTTATTGTCACAAAATACTACATCAAAATGGTCTAGGGGTCAAGGAATGAAAAACGATTAATACGAAAAAAATTGTTTGATTTAAGATAAAATTTGACATACCAGGTAGTTTTTGTTGGCTTTTAAATAAATGTTCAAGGTTGTTCAATTTAAACATTTTATTTAATTACTTGTGTGTGCCTATTTCAAAATATCATTGACTGATTGGCATTATTACGAAAACCGCTGATTTTAAAGATATGGTATGTTATAAAAATCTGTTCAAAATTTACCATACAATTCAAAAAAGGCATAACATAAAGGGCGTTCCATTAAAAAAAATCAACGATGACTGCGTATGTTCTTCTTGAGACATCATATAAACAATTTTCTTATGTCAAAAAATCAGCAACTAAAAATACTGATCGACGTATCCGAGCATTTTTCTACATAATATTTATCTGAATTTTAAACGAATTTGTTCCTAAGTTAAAATCAATTTCAATCAACATCATAAGTACATATTTTTAAATTTAGATATATAATATTTCCAGTCATACTTTTTTATGCATTAAGGTAACGTGAGAGTATATCGCATCCTTCAGATCACAAAAAAATTGATGCAATATTATCTTATTTCGGCATGTCAAAGTTAAACGGCTTTATTTGTTCGAAACGGTCAATGAGGCAATGTAGCGCGTTATATAAAGGTAGGTCTCCACTTGCCCGGAACGGTTGTCAAGAGAAGGGACTACTTCATACCGCGATATTTAATTGTACCAGAAATATTCAAATTATTATTTCAGTCAGTCTCTTAATTTCATTGAAGATACATGGTAGAAACATAATTATAATAGTTTATCATGCGACGAAGCAGAAAAACAAATCGTAACATGAAATTTATAACAAATGCGGTACGTCTGGTCCAGTGTCAAAATCAGAGCGTTGTTTGATTTGAATATACAAAAATAATAAATTACCATCTATTATGGTCCGTTGCATTGTCGACCATTCCAACCAAATTACGCCTACCTATTTTTTCGAAAACATACAAATATACTAAATATGAATGCCAGTTTAATAAATCTGCTTCTGTTGTTTCAGTTCGTCTTAAGTACCTAAATATTAATGCAGACCGACAAAATATAACTCAACTTAGAACAATACGAGATAATTTTTCAAAAATAAGTACATCGCATTAAATAATATCCATATATCCATGTTTTCTTCTTGAAATTTCATGTAGTATTCGGCAAATTTTTTTTTTCTCTTTTAAATTCTATAATTTTTTTTATCCCATCCGCTATATTTAATCGTTTTCCTTATAAGAAAGAAATTATCATTTTATTAACTTTTGCTGGTACTTATTATTACGTATATATTTTATAGTAAGTTCCATGTAAAGCGTTTAGTGTAGAAATATAGACACTGCCCCTTTTTGTTTCATACTTTTATGTAAATACTTGCATGTACAGGGTGGGGCATTTATCTTGAGACAAAATAATATCTCGGTTGGACTCGATTTTTTCGAAAAAAGTTTCAGACAAAAATTGTAGGGCACCGAGGGGCCCATTGAAAGGTCCATGGTACGACTTCCTGTCTAGACCGGAAGTGGTGTTTTTAGACCAGAAGTTAATTTTTTTCAAACAATCATTTTTTACCACGGATTTCGATTGAAAATTCCAGATTTATTCCACAATTTATTGCTTCAAACGAGAATAGTTTATTGTTACTGCTGGAAACACCGCAATACTCAAAAATTCGCTTTAGAAAAATATAAATACCACTGATATTTCAGAAATTAGAAGCTCAACAACATTATCCCCAAGATGTTAACAAAAATTGATGCTGGAATCGACTTTTAATATTACGTACCTATATTCTACATTATTTTAAAGATTTTTTCTTTAATTCTTGCGAGGTGGATAATTAATAACAAATAAGGATATTAGTAATGTCCATTTCTTAGAATCCAAATCAAAAATAGTCCGCTGGATGAGTGATCCAGTGATTTTTAAAATTATCGCTTATTAATTTAGTTATTGAACTTCAACTGTTTAATCAAAAATTATTTTTCTCTCTCTCTTTCTGTCGTAATCTGTCCCAATTAAATATGTTATTTATTTTACAAATGTTATACACCTAATTTGATATCCAATACAATAATAATTATTTATTGACATAAAAACATCGATTTTGGTCTACCACTTTTACTTGGCCTTGTTATACTAACAATCACTTTATTAGCAAATACCGTTTTTATTAAAACATTAAATAACTAATGAAAGTAAATGCACAGGGTGACTATTTTTCGAGCCGCGACATTCGAATCTCGGTTCTCAACATACAAGTCCGTCAAAGTTGCGGCATTTGATGCCGAATAACTTACGGAAGAGACATGTGACCTATCTTTTTCAATTTCAATAACTTTACGTTTTTATTTTTTAATTGAGAACAGAAGCGTTTTAAACGTAAACATTGTTAAGACACTTTTTTGTGGGGAAACATATGATATGGTTTGCTTTTTGTCAAAATATCATTTTACAAAGAGTGCTTTGAAAATAAAACATCCAACTATTACTTATTTTAACAGTTTAGTCAACGATGTCATAGACAATTTCATCAATGCTGTCAAAGTTTAAATAGTTAACTAAAAATGGGTGAGGGAGGCCGTAATATACTTGATTAATTAATTTTAATAATACTTGATTTTGTTTCATATGAAAATTGCTCTTTTAATTATCTGAACTCTGCATATTTGAATTCTCGATAGAAAAGCGTAATAAATAAATATTTAAAATTATTAGTTGTACGTTTTACAATTCTAAAACGATAGATAGGCCAAATTTCAGTTCGGCAAGTCGTCATCAAATTGCACAACTTTGTCCTAATTTGAGATCCCAATGGCGCGGTTCGAAAAAGGAGCACCTTTTAATACCGACAAAATTAGTGATTTACATTTTTTGCGAATATATAAAAAATCCTAAGTACTCACTTAAAATTTGTAATATGAACATAATGGCAAATCCAGACAGGATAGCCAATAGCTGCCAGATTCCACTGTGGTGGTTGCTACGCTCTCTAGCGAGGACTTCAAAAAATACAACGTACAGAAGAGTTCCTGCTGCCATTCCTTGAAGAACCACTGACGTAACATCCTCACTGCTGTCTTGTTTACCTCTCAGTATTAAACCGACACCAATCCCTGAATAAACATAAAAGATGTAAACTGTAAATACAATCAATACACGGTGAAATTACAAAGTATGTATATACTAGGGACAACCTAGACCAGCTTAACTCTGAATTTGTATCAAATTTTTAATAGTAGTACCTATGTATATCTAAAAATAGCATTTTATATGAATAGCTTCAAAAAAATACACTTTTGTACCTATCCAAAATCACAAACGATGTGAAATTTATGCCCTCAAAAGAAACAGTAAATAATGCGGATAGTTATTGTCAAACCCTTTGAATACTGAGTGGTGCATCATTCAAATTCACAGATGAGATATACTAGATATTAGACAGGGTGGTTCCGAGGTAATGGACTAAAATTCATAGATAGATTCTCGAAGCAAAAATATTGCGATTAGCCGAACTTATCTTAGTCCAAAAGTTGATAGTTAAAGAGATACATTATGTCTTTTTGGTAAAAAAAGTTGGAAAATATGAATTTGATACCAAAGATGAGACAAGTACTTTAAAAAATGTTACATCGTGTGGATATTTGCATTTATTAATGAAAAAAGAAACTAAAATAATATTTTACATTTAACATCCTGTGTGTCTTTAACGATCAACTTTTGGACTAAGGTAAATTCAGCTAAATCGCAATATTTTTGCTTCGGGAATCTACCCATGAAATTTGGACCATTACCTCGGAATACTTCTGCGCATCCTGCCAACTTTCCACTTCTCTCACCAACCACAATATATGCTATTTTGTTGTTGAACAGCTCGGTTGTACAATTAAGTCACCTACTCTACAAGTTTAGTCTGCTTTAAAATAATAATTACCCCACTTAAATCACCTAGCAGCCTTTGTGCATATAAATTTCAGTTTTTGTTCCCTCTATTCCTTCCAACATTTTTGTTCAAAATAAACGACAAGAACTGCTGACTACTGTGCATTTTCAGGATAATGCTCGCCCGCATGTTGCCGTGAAGATTAGAGAATCGCTTCGACGACATACAAGTATAGTCCGGATTCCGGATTTAGCACAAAGTGATTTCATTCTTTTAAAAATCTTAAGAATCTCATGGGTGGAAAGCGGTTTGAAAGCAGTGACCATAAACAAGTTAACAAGTGATTGCGTGAATAGGCGGGAGATTTCTACGAACTCGGAATACAAAAGCCCGTCTACGTTGTATACTATTATATGAAGAAATAAATTGATGTTCGTAAAATAACTGTACGGGTATTTTTTTAATCTCTACAAATGACATACCCAATGTTTGTTTAAAAGCAAAAAAGTAGGTACCTACGAGATGGATTTCTTATTTTCTTACTCAAGATTTTGGTATAATTAAAACCTATTAAAACATATTTCTAATATTTCACTTACTCTTATTTTCATTAGAAAAGAAGGGGTAACTTTTTGACATTGCATAAATAAAGGGTATTCCAAAAAAACGCAGGTGTTCAAATGAGGAAAAAAAATTATTAATTAAAAAGTTGGCAAAGTTTTTACATGTTTCCGAATTTTCGTTGCTATTAAATATGAAAAAGGATATCGTCCTAAGAGACTCATTTGGTATACACGACTTCTTTTAAGAAAATTATGTATCACACTTTCGCATACCTGCGGCTGAATTTAACTGATAACTCTCCAAATTTCTGCCTTTAATTCAGGAATTGTATTCATTTGAGCAGAATAAACATTGGATTTTACGAATTACCACACCCAGAGGAAAAAGTCGCATGGTGTAAGATCGCATAATCTTGGTGGCCAAGTCACTTCATTGTTACATGAGATGAGGCACCATTCTGCTGGAACCACCATGTCATCCAAATGAGGCCACAAAAAGTTCAATAGCATTTCTCGATATCGTTCTCAATTGACAGTCACTGCGTTTCCAGCCACAATTTCAAAAAGAACGCACCAATCAGCCTATCAGCGTAAATTCCACGCCACACTTAACTTCACTCTTAGGGTATACAGTGATCGTTCTTGGATGAGTCGAGAATTATTGCTGCCCTAAATTCAACAGTTTTGATTGTTCACAGACCCACTAAGATGGAAATGTACCTTGTCGCTAAAAATAATTTTCTTAGCAAAATCTTCATTTGCTGCATTTCTTCACGTAGGGTAATCAATTCGCTTTTAGCGGGTGTTTGAATTGAGACGGGCACATCTTCCTTTACATTTACTTGAGATACTTGGCTCCTCGATGGTCCGATTTCCTGTACTCGGTCCGCCACTTCAGCCATGTCGGCCAAGGGTTGTTGCAGCGATGCTGCGAGCACTCGCTGTGTAGGTGTCGGCAACCGGTTCATCCACAGGGTTTTTATAAATTCTTCGTTCACATTTTTACCTGCCAGTTTTTGTAAATGTCGTAGAAATTGGGAAGGTGTGCGGTCCCCTAACTCTTCAGTTTCTAACAGTTTTCGTACTCGTTGGCTGCTGGAGTCCGACAAACGTTTGATGAGTTCGCTTTTCAAAGTCTCGTACTGGTTTTGCGCAGGTGGGTTGCAAATAATATCTTCTACTTCTTCGATGTATCGGCTATTTAAATTTCCAACGGCGTAACCGAATTTTGTCGAGTCCTGCCTTACGCCGGCGATACTAAACTGTGCCTCCAATTGACAAAACCAAAGTCCTACCTTATCACTCCAAAACGGCGGTACGCGGACAGTCACGCGGTGTAGCTCGGCACTGTCCATTCCTTCCGCGAGGTTTCTGGCG